CGCGCGACCTTGCGCCAGACAATGCCCCCCCGCGGCCTGCCAAGCCCTGCTCCCCTCGGCCCGTCGAGCTGCTGAAGAATTGGCTCTCGCACACCCCGTGATGACTTCCCCCCCCCCTCCCCTCTCCCCGTCCAGCACTGACTGTGCTTTGGCACTTGGCCTGAGGCGTGAGTGCGGGGCGCGGCGGGCCTGGCCTTGAGTCATGGCAGACGTTGTTGATTTTATGGGGCCAATAAGGGCCCCCGCCCCGCCCCGCGCCGCCCCACCACGCCCCGCCCCGCCCCGTCTACGCGGTACAGTCGAGGCCGGAAGCGCGGCGGTCTCCGAGACCGCAAGTCCTTTGATTAGAGGGCTCCCCGCGCTCCTCGCGGAAGCTAAAGCGCCGCGGCATCCACCAAAGCCTCCTGGCGGCATCCTAGAACACTTGTGAGCTGCTGAGGAGGGCACTTCGTCAGAAACTTCAGAGAACTCTCGGGAAAACTGCAGGAAACGTCTCATAAACATCCATGGAAAACGGTCTAAAATATTGTGCTGCAGTACACCAACTGCAAGATAGGTCTGTGCAGATGAGGTGTATGATTGTTCTACATTGTGACTCAGTGCTAGAAACCACTGTACTTTGTACCTCAAAATTGTGTACTTTGCCCAGTACAAATTCGTGCGAAAAAGGAGGACTCGGCCAGTGCCTTAAGTGCCTTTTTTTGGCAGTGAACAACACTGAGACACTGAACTTTTGTTCATTTCATTTGACCGCGCAAATACAGAACTACGTGAGAAAGCTCAGAATACTCACACAGGGGGTCGAAGCCGAACACAAACTTGGGGCAGGGCTGGTAGGCAGAGGTGCCAGCCAGCGTATCCGGCCAGCACATCCATCCGTCCCATACGCTGGGGCACATGTCTGCAACACAAGAAAAACAAGACTGAGTCTCAAGCCGTCTGCCCACGCGAACACGAAAGGTGCGACCTTGCAAGGGTTTGCAATGGTTACTGCTGTGTGTAGTTCTGTAGTTCAAGCAGGAATAAAACCATTCCGCTAAAAGCTAAAAAGAAAAAAAAGTGGGGAACACAGAAAACGGAAATCACCAGATGACTTTTCTTTACTTGTTCCCCGCATTCAGCTTCATTTCAGCTTGATGGAAATTAGCTATGTGTTTGTTTATACGGCCATTTGAAATTATCGTATACCCAACAATAACAAAAGCAAGGAGTGGGACATCCGTCACCTTCTGTCCCTGACCCGAACAGAGTTAAGTGCGGGGTAAATTTACTGTTCCTCTCGAGCCGATCATCATCGGCGCTGACGATCACCGTCGCCATCCCCTCGACATAGCGGCCGCAAGGGGGTTATGACTCCCCGCGGGTACCTTATATACGCACCCCTTTAGGACCGCCCGGCCCGGCCGGGGGACGCCTCGACACGCCCATTCGCCCGGTCCATCAGCTTTATTAAAAACACGCGTTTTACGAGCCCCCTCCC